ATCATTTATGAGTGTTCGGCGCTGCAAACTGCACACCAATACCCACTTAATAATTAAAGCCTCATATTGATTGTGGAATTACAATGCTTGTGTTGAGGGACATTAGTCAGTGCTGCTGATGATAATAACACTGCTGATTCCCTCCTATAAAGACTATATTTCATTCAGTGGGTGAATGAAGACAGAGTGGAGGAAATGAAAGGATGCAGGGAGGGATTTGAAAGACAGACTGAAAGTTAGAGGGATTGACGAGAAGTCTTGTAAAATAAATAAAAAACAGACAAAAGAGAGAGAAAAGCAGAGAGCATAATAGAAAGCAGATGGTTTGAACACAACAAGTTGGCAGCATGTGCTGGGGATCAGATCCTGCTTAACCTCATGATGGTATGCAATGTATGGTTTTTGTAACACTCTTTTTATAGCCACTGGCAGTAATTCTTTTATTCAATTTCTCGAGAAATGTTGTGCTAATGCAGGAAACGTCTACCTTAAGTAGTCATTGCTGCTTATGATGAAAACCAAAAAGCACTATTAATCAAAATGCATATCTTTCCATGGAACTTTTGAGAAAGTGCAACAATGCCATGGATTGTAAAAGCTAAGATTAGCATTTAAGGGTGCTTTCAAGTATGCTAAACCTTTTTTTATTTGTCCAGGCCTAGGACACTGTTGGTTCACATGAAATTGTAAGGTTCTAAAAAAAATAATTAACAAAAAATGAAGAGAGGAATGCGCAATATGATAAGATATGTGATCCTATACTGAGGTTTCTTTTAGACTAATGTGCGCTGTTTAATGAGTCCATTTGCACCTACTTTGTATTTCATTAAATTAGGACTGTGACTATTTGTATTACCCGGGAAGTTTGCATGTGCGTGGTGGGAATGGATGTACAATTCAAAAGGAAAGAAACACATAGAAATAGAGCTTGCCTAAAACACACTGAATGTTTCTGCACTTGTAATCATCCCTCATGAAAACATGGCATCACCCCAAAGATGTGGTTTTCTCTGAAGTTGACAGCCGGGCTCTTACACTGACGCTGATCCTCTAGAAAGGCTAAATACAAAATATTCCCAAAGTAACTGTACATCATTCATCATCATCATCACCTCTATTTACCTCCGGCAGTTTGACGGAGTGTTTTGTTAGCTTGGAGCCAGAAGTAAGAAGATTTTGGCAAAGAATTTCAGCAAGGCAAAGAATATATCATTGTAAATATTTGATGAGGATATTGTTGTCCCATTAACACGCACATCATGAGGTAATATATTGCCCTAATACTTATTTTCAATAATGATCTTTTGTTTGATTTATACTGTAGATATAGGCCTGGTTCGAATATCTTTACTTCAAATCTTTTCTAATTTGGGCAAATATGAACTCTGGACCATATTTATAAATTCAAAGTGAAGAATAGCTCAATTTGTTACAAAACTACAAGCTGACACTTATCCTTGTTAGTGCACCTTAGCAGTCATATTTGCATTAGTTAACCTGCAATTAATCAATTTATTATAGAAAGCTTGTTACTTGAAATTAAAATGTGTTTAGCTCCCATGAAATGTCCTATATTTTGTATTAGTTGTCTATTAGTCTGCTTTTGTCTTCTATCTTTACACATATGGTATTGATAGATACATTCTTTTAATTCTAAAGTAGCTCAACGGCAGCTAAAAGTATAAATATGGGAAACCAAGTTTGGTAGATCAACGTAATATATGCCGGGGTTGTTTAAAACCTAATTCTGCTGCCCTCAAGTGGCCAGAAAACCATGATGCTATTTCCATCAGTTACATTAGTTCAGGCTATTAATTGACAATCAAAATAAAAAACAAGTAATTTCTCTGAACTTAATCCTAAGCAATGACTACTGCTACGTATAGAGTGGAAATGCAAAGCAATTAAGAGCCACAAAAAACACGATCCAACATGTCTTGTCTTCAACTCATCCACCCACATGATATCATACAATCTTTCACACGCTATTTACACTTTTAAACACACACAACCTTCACACTTAGCACTGACAGCTACAAACATTCAACCCAATTACCATTCACACGTACAATGTTAAGAGTAAGAGACCATCGTCACTTGATTATAGGAAGCAGACTTTGAGTATTAGAGAATAATGTTTCTAACCGATGGATGGTACCTTGAAGAATCAAAATGCATTTAGTCCACCCCTGTTATGACCTTAAGTGTACTGTGTGTGAGTGTGAGTGTGAGTGTGAGTGTGAGTGTGAGTGTGTGTGTGTGTGTGTGTGTGTGTGTGTGTGTGTGTGTGTGTGTGTGTGTGTGTGTGTGTGTGTGTGTGTGTTCCTCAGTGCTGTTGCAGTCCTGTGAAAACCTCACATCTCTGTGTGTGTGTGTGTATTTGTCGAGTCTAGTCGCAACAAGTCAATCGGAACATACGAAAACAGTCTGTTTGCCTTGCAGTCAAAAGAAGATGAATTTATAGATTTTCTTCGAATGTGCCATCTGTCTACAAAATGTAAAGAGAACACGCGGAAGCAAGCATGCCCACACACACACACACACACACTTGCACCTTGAAAGTACTTTGTTTGTCCTGGGGTTCAAGAGAAAAGTCTTTAATCCATTGGAACCATCTGGTACTAATTTCATTCTTATGAGTAATTACTCAACCACTAAAGTGAACCGTTGAGAGTCACCGACATCTGCTTCATTGCACCAGTTTGGCCAGTAAAAAACAGCTTGTTACTTGATCAACATCATCAAAAATCCAATATAGTTTGTTGAATTGTGGCCAAACATTTGGCAAAGTTGCATTTGCTAGTCGATCAATCGACTGAAATATCTCAACAAATGTTTGATGCAAAGCAATGACATTTTAAAACAGACATTTAAATTCCTCAGAGGATGAATTATAGTGCAGCACTCCAGCATGTGTCATTTATAATACATTATTAACACCAGTCCCAACATATTAAGTTTAAAACTCAAAAGAAAGTGTGAAGTGGCTTTCATTGTCATATATTTTAGATCACAACCGCATAAATCATTTCAACCCAAACAGAGTCAGCAAAGTCTGAGTTAAGATTCCAAGGTTTATTGGATTGAAGACATTTTTGACTGTCATCTATCCTCTGAGCTTTTGATCTAGATACTTCTGTATCTTGAAGAAAAGAGGAGACCCAGCTGCAGCCTGAGAGCGCTGGATCACTGTCATCGCTCTGGCTGCTTAGACAGCAGATTGTAGTCTGTATCGGGGCTCTCGTAGGACCTCTCTCTGAGGTATTTCAGACGTTCTGACCTTTTGGTGGCCACTTAAAACTTTTAGACACGAAGCTTATTGACTGTCAGCAATGATTTATGTTAGTAAAGACAGCGAGGGATGAAGGATGGACTAAGAAAAGTGGATCAAACATAAACTCACGACACCCTGTATCTTGAAAAAGCCCAAAGAAAAAAAGTGTTTAAACTAGTGGTATTGAGTTCACACAACTTACCATCAACCATGACGCAATTACACAGAGGAAGCTTGACTGAACAAACAAAGAACATTGTAGAGAAACTGAAAATGATATTTGTTCCAGAACATTTCTCTTGCTTTCTGTCTCTGACTCTCCTGCCCAAGTTTCTATGCGATTCAGAAGGAATTTCACCAAAGAACATTTTATTTTCTGACTCAGATGATCCTATTGCAACATAATTGAAGTTAGAGCTTTTCTCAGATGTCTTTATAACTCAAGAATGTAAAATACTTTGATTGCAACATCATACATGTATCAGTGACAATTTGTGTTGCATTCTAAATTATGTTGTAGTAGCTAAACGTTATATACTGCTTTTGTTAATGTCCTTTCTTCTCCTTTTTCACAGCTGTCACGGTCTGCCGTCTCTGTGTCTCTGAGAATCAAATGCTGCCGATAACAGGGATCAGTATCAAGGGAGATGTGGGCTTAATGTACCAGTATCGGCTCAAATAAATCAGAGCAAAATCAAATCCTTATTTTACTGTATTTTTGTGTTTAGTCAACCCCAGCTTGCTAATGTTGCATTGCTCTCCTTAAACAGACAGCCATGCTCTACACTGCATATGTTGGTAAAAATTGGTGATTAAATCTGCATAAGATGTGCTACGTTGAAAGCTAAATGAAATTAGAGAATTCAATTCCTGAAGAAATTGCTAGTGGGAATGCTTTATGCTGAATTGCTATGCTGAAATGTAATGTGTAAGAAGAAAGTGAAGAATTTAGATTGAAATGATACATGAACACTGGGGGCTTGAATGTGTGATAAGAGAAGAAAATAAAGTAAAAAGGCTTGGAAAAGCAGTAGAATATTTTAACTGCCAACTTTTCGACTAAAACCATACGTCACCAATAATGTATCAAATATGTGGAACATGTTGAAGTCAGTATGAAGTCTCCATCAGACAGAAAATAATAAGCTGAGACAGTCTGTTAAACTCTGATTGTCAGTGTTTGTTTCTGTGCTGAGCACCTACTGTAATCATAACACCTAATCATAACACCTGTGTGTGTGCCCAGAGAACATAGGTTTCCATGGTGATGTGCAGTGATCTGTGAGAGGAGAGCCTTTCCATTGATCTGAATGAGAGATAAACCTCTTACATTTGAACGTTTTGTTGAAGAACCGTAGAAGCTATTGGTGAAATTTCAACGCGCGGAGCATCTCCGAAAGTACCCAAAAAGCAGACTGAGACGCTCCTTAGGGTCCTGAGATGCTCCGCGCGTTGAAATTTCACCAATAGCTTCTACGGTTCTTCAACAAAACGTTCAAATGTAAGAGGTTTATCTCTCATTCAGATCAATGGAAAGNTGATGAAGACGTGGGGCTTGGCGGACAGTGCGGCGGCATGCGAGTGCGGTGACCCTGAGCAGACCGCTGACCATATAATCACCATCTGCCCCTTATATAGACCACCCTCGGAAGCCAGCCTGATCAGCCTGCTCTCAGCTTTCTCATTTGTCTGTGTTGTATAGAAGCAGTGTCCTAAATGTAAAATGACTGACATTTTGTTTTAAGAACTACTCACCTGTGGAGATTGCAGTGGCAAAGTGTTCCTGTGTAGCTGGAACAGCACTCTGCAACCACAATGTTGCACTGCTGTTCCAGACCGCACACTACTCCACACTCAACCTGGCTGCCGTACCCCCTGTCCTCAGCTGCACTGAAACAGAGCAGCGATGGCACAAGCCAAGAACCATGGTAAGTACAGTATGTGTTCACTACCAATTCACGGTTTAATTAGTATTTCCTTTGTACCAAGAGCTGATTTAGTATGTTGCATCAACGACCTTTTCAATTAATTTGACAATTATTTTGTGTAATTAATAGGGTGTGAAACCAGGCAGAGTAAGTGACATGGTGTTCATTTCCACTAAGCCAAAGCAGTTACAGTTGCTGACGGTGTACGGTAATATATATTGTCCTAAGTAATTGTATGTACCCTGCTACAACTTTGTGGTTGTTGTCTGAGTGTAAAATTGTTCTTAAAGTCCTAATTACCATATAAACATGTTCAAAGGAGTACACGTTACAAGGCTGTGCGGGGGGAGCTGCCAGACCCAGATGTCCTCAAAGTCAGCGAGGCATACAAGGACTTCTCAGCAGACATCGCACCACGAAAAAAAACGAATGGCTCACTACTCAACTCAACGACTAACACTCTTTCAGAGGATATGTTGGAAATGCACACATTATATATATTTTTTGCATCTACTTTCTGGATATTGTACATCTGTTCATCTGTTATATAAACTAGCATTACTTAAATATGCAGAGACTAATAGAAATGTTTAAATATGTATTTTTCCCCCCGATATAACATCAACCTATGTTTTGTAAAAGTTTATTAAATGAATCTGTAAAATGTTATCATATTGTGGATTTATTAAATTATGTATTTTCCTTTGTTATTTATGTGTGCGTTTGTTTTGAGGATATAATTCATTAGTACCTAAACATAGTATGGTATAACTGCTTTTTGTAATGAAATACACAATTGGTTTGGGAGCAAGAAATCTTTTAATCGTTGTTGCCCAGGCTTGCCGAAATGAATGGAAACTTATCTCCCGATTATAACATTGTGTAACTTGCTGCTGTTAAATACCGTCAAACTATGTGCAATATGTGCTTTATGTGCAATATATACTTTATATCATATGCCATCTTTAATAACTGTAATATATACCGGGCTGCTAAATCCTAAGAACTGCTACAGGATTTGATTTGTAGATTTGATTTGTTTTTGATCTGTATTTTTGAAAATTATGTAACTTTTTATCTTTTTTTTAGCATATTGTTTATTTATATTATTAACTTAGTACTTTTTAACGTTACATGTAAGAGTTTTTTAGCATATTGTTTATTATATTATAACTTAGTACTTTTTAACGCATGTAAGATATTCAACAATAAGCTGTCTGTGGCTCTTTCCAACTGTAACGCTGCAAATTTCCCCTCTGTGGGACTAATAAAGGTATTCTGATTCTGATAACGGGACGAATTTGTACAAAGGGGCACACAGCAATGTAGTGCCGACTTTCTTACACGCTGGAAGGCCAATCGCTTTTCTTTACCCCGAAATCCGCTCATTCTTGCTCTCGGTGTGTCACAACAAACTGTCAAGCTGTCAAAACTCTGTACTCAAACCGGAAGTACTCGGCCGCACACCCAGCCGTCGGAAGTTGATAGACGCCATCTTGTGCACAGAGCCTATTACAGTGTGATTTTTCAGGCATTGTTTAAAAGGGAAAGGGAAATGACATCATATTGTGAATCAGTTTGAACTCCTGTTGTGACCAATTATCTACGAAATACATACAAGACATAACTGCCAGACAGCCAATATTTCTAATTTCCCTAAAGTAGAAGTAAAACTTTGAAATACATAGAGAGATAATTATCAAATGTCATGTTCCATGTTATATTAAAAAATAAATTATAGTGCAAGACATTGAGAAAAGTTTGTGACTGCAATTGATTTTGTTCGTCAAATGAGATGGAAGGCTTTTTTTAACAACTACCATCGTGTAGCAAATATGGGTTACATCAAATAGTGTCCAGGCTACCCCTTAAACTTCTCCTTACTTTCAGTGAAATATGTAGTGTCCCATTATTACTAGCTTTACAATTAGTTGGTGGTGGTGAGTCACTTCTGTTGGGAGAAAAAGAGAAGGAGTCCTTGAGTTTGTTTTAAAAAAAAAGTTTGCTCCATCTACAACTCCCACGTTATTCATTCAGCACAGAGATCAAAAGGATGCAATCGTTCAAGCTATACACACATGCTGAAACTTACACAGGAACATAGAGAAAAGAAAAACATAATAAAAGCCTCACTCACACATGTGCACAGCCACAGTGGGGAATTGTTGAAAATGCAATTTGTCAATGATTGTCAGTCCAACTTCCAAGAGAATGGTACAGAAACACAAAAATATCCACACACACTGGTGATGGATTCACAGAAGCCATTCAATGCATGGATGAGAGACAGATAATTGACTGTAACCACCTCTATAGGAGTAGCCTTACAACCATGAGCTGTGACTATGACTGTGAAAAATAATTCTTAACTGGTCTGGAGACTTATTGCATTCGGTTCTACCTGAAAACAATTATCTGAGAAGGTTGTCCTCTCAAGAGCAAATCAATAATTTCTGCAAGTGCGGCAAAACAATATAATGGTTAGATTCAAGTAGAAAAGCCCTCTAAGTAAAATGTAAATTACTGTGATATCCTCTGCAGAAATACGGTCCTATTGCTGGAAAGCTGGATGGTTGCCGATGTATTAGAGTGCCCTTGTTGTATGTATGTATGTACCAATTTCATTTAGTGTTGTTATTTTTATTTAATATAAAGTAATGTAGTTGTCCTGTGTATATATGTATTGCTTTTGGCTCTATGTCTTCGTCCTATGTGTGTGATTTTTTGTATGCTGAACATATTCATAAAAAAAAAGCCCTCTATTGGCTGCATTAGTTATGACTCTCCCGTTGCATTACTCATCTTAGTCTGCATTCTATTTTACTTTACATCCAGGCTAGTTATCTTTTTCATGTATTGTGCCAGAGAACACATTACTCAACAGGCTGGGGAATTTCTTTAATAATGTTTTGTTGTGCTGTCTGAACAAATGTGAATTAGATACGTAAAAGGGAATGGAAAAACATGTAGGCTTTAATTCAGCTGCACGATATAAGCGATTGAAGATGGGCTGTGTTGCTTGCCTAACCCCCCCCCCCCCCCCCTGGAGGAGAGTAGGTGATGATGATGGTGTGGTGAGATGACTCTGGGACAGATGGCTGAGCAGAAGAGATGAGCAGAACAACGTTTGTGGTACTGGCAAAGGGTGAGTTTGAATTGTTGTTGGACATGATTGGTTTCCCCACCACAGGGTAAATAGGTTTAATTTGCTCTCTGTTAAAGCGTGTGCAGGAACGTTTAATATGTGACTCACCACGGCCAAACTTTTGGTCATGACAAAACACAATCATTGTATTTGTTCAGTGAAAAGGTGGTCAGGCAGACACTTGTCTCCCTTTCTCCTTAAGTTCTCTTTACTCTGCTCTGTCCTCTTGCTCCTGAGATATTGCTAGTGCCACTTACACACATATACACACCAAAAAAAAGTATATATTTGACCATATTATTGTTGAATTTTTTACATGGGACTCACACATTACATCCCTCTGAAGTCCCCCAAAGGGTACCAGGACCTAATTTCTGATATACTTTGCTGGCGGAGGATCCAAAACCCATTACTGTTGCATCACCTGGGCACCCCAGCCATTTTGCACGGATCTGGCAGTTTTGACACTGAACCAACATTCAGACACTTTAGTGGGAAGAAAACTAGTTGCAGGATAATGATGCAATTGCTGCTCTGCACATTTTAGCTATACATAAAAAAACATATGACAGATTTACATGTAGTTTGGGGATGCTGACTGTGAAAGGTCTAATTAAGTTTCGATAAATAGGCCCATCGAAATTAATTATAAACTGAGCTGAAGAGGAATAGCAAGGGCTCTTGGCAAAACATGAGGGAAGAAGATAAATTGTCCCTGGGTCTGGCTCAAAGGAAACACATTTTAATTGAATGAAGTAGACACATTAAGAAAAGACACATTTTTGGGACACCACAAAAACACTTTTGTCAATAACCCTGACTAATATCTAGATTATCCATCTTGCACCAATTAGAACAATACATATATTATCAGTAATCACTGCACATGATCATTAATCTGAACAAACACTGATATTAGAGCTAAAATAATTAGTGTCATTGAAAAAATATGACTTGTACTCCGGATACTTACTGTACACTTTTTATATACAGTCTCAGAGGCAAACATAATACTTTTTGCTTCACTACATTTGTTTACATTTGAGTTGTTTTGATAAACTGAAGGATAAGGTGTTCCATTTGGGGGTTGAGAACATTTTACTTCTTGTATGAAATAAAAAATATTGATAAAATAAATCAGCTGGAAAATGCCTCACCACAAAGCTGAAAGCAGGGCCGTTTTATTTTCAGAATGAAACCTTGTGTTGAATAATGACAATACATGATACATGGATCCTTGGGAAAGATATACCTACATGGTTCTCAGAGGAAATATATTTTCTGCAGAATAGCCTGCTATTACTATTGATATATTTGGTCAATTACACTTCTGTTTAAGTAAGGTTTTGAATGATATACAAATACGTAAGTGTCTGAATACTTATTTGCAATAAAGAAGCAATTTGATAACAGCACTTGGGCTCTAGAAATTGTGAAGGCTTTCAAGTTTTCAGTATTTTATTAAACTTGTATGAAGCTTTGTATAAAAGTGTCAGCTCAATTAAATATGTTCATGTATACAAATCAAATAATCAGTTAAATGAATACGCTACCAACTTATAAATAATAATATTATTATTTAAAGCTATGTGACAACTAAATACAAAAAGGCCTAGTTGTTGTTTGTTGGGGTTTATTTGCGTCTTTTTTAATCACATGTACATTTAGTGAAACCTGTCAGGTGTGCAGTTTCCTGTCAATCAGGCATGGAGCTCGGATGACGGGAAAGCTAGCTAAATGCATGGTGCACATGTTTAGCCCAAAAACGATAACATATTAGTAAAGTTTCCCAAAAATAACTGGGCGAGAATAATAAAAAGAGACTAAGTTCGTTCGCATTCTCAACATCAGTAGGCTAAGTGGACAAACGTAGCTTTAATTTAGCTGCTAATTTAGCCCTTAAACAAAGTGTTGTCTGCAACTTAACCGACTGTGGAAGACGTAAAGTGGTTTAGACGTCTGGACCGGCAACAATGAAACAAGACTAAACTATGTCAATATTTACCTGAAAGAGAACTGTCTGGATAAATGGACTATCGTGAATAAGTAGAAGACATCAAAGGTAAGCGGCAATTAAAGCTATTTTATTGGGCGTCTATTTGGATGAAGCTATGGTTAAAGTTTGTTGTGCTTTTATTTGTTGGATAAGCCCACAGAAGCATCAATGGATGTATGGATGATACTTCTGCTTTGTGTATGCTTTTATTTGGCCGCTGTGCCATATTGTTGTTTCAAGTGGATCCTGCCTGTGTATTGTTTACTGCTGTTGCTGTAGTGTCTT